TTAAATTTTCACTTTCTTAATTAACTGACACAAAATATTGAATTACTGAATTTTTTGGCATGCACATGTGTATACAAACCCACCATTTGTAGCGGCCCACTGGGTCCCAGAAGCCAGGCCGAGGCACTGCACAGGGACCACACACTGCTTGCTTGTACAGACTGTAGAAGCGCAGCATGACCTTATAGGAAGGCCGGTAGGAGCCTACAAAACAGCACAACTATTTGTCAGGTTTATTTCTCCACACACCAAACTATACTACATACATTTATAATCAAGGTCCATTTAAAAAATACAGCCCTTTGTTATGTGCAGCAATACATACAAAATAGAAAGAAAATGGACAAATGATAAATGCTCTTTGTTAAAATCACTGGTTATCCAGCAAGTAGTACATTATAATGTGCTGGCTGCTTGTGGTTTATACAGATAACCCTATTCAGACACTCAATCTGACAGTATCCAAGGCCGACAGATTTTATTTTCCTGTCAGATTAGCAGAAAGGAGTGTGTGAGAGCGACTATGGCTCAGGAGGTCGAGAGTCTGTCTACCAACTGAAAGGTCAGTGGTTTGATACCCAGCTCCTGCCTGCATGTCAATATATACTTGGAAAAGTGCAAGTGTACGTGTGCAAATGTTAGATAATAATGCTTGTGCATAGGGAAAAAGCTTGTATGAATGTGTGTGACTGGGTAAATGAGACTTGTAGTAGAAAGCCTTTTGAGTACTTAGTTGAGTAGAAAAGTGCTATTTCAGTAAAAGTACATTTACTATTTACCACATCTAAATTAGTATACGCTTTAAAATATAAATTGTGACATAGTCATAGGAAAAATAAAGTTTACATAGGACTCTGTGTAATCCTACAAAGAATTAAGTCACCACGGAATAAGTCTTGTATTTCTAAAGAAAGAACAGACAAGGTCAAAGTATCTGTAACCACGGTGATATATTTGGTGAAAACCAAACACATCATATCAGCACAAATACTTAATACTAACTGTCAAGTGTAGTGGCAGAGGAGCGATGATATGGGCTTGTTTTGCAAGAGGTCTGCTACCTCAGAGTTTTGGTTACACTGGCCGAGAAACACAAAGCAGCGCAGCAGGAAGAGGCCGAGGGCTGCGGTCAGCTGGACTTGATGTACACGGTAGATACATTTTTTCCTTCTTGCAGAGACAATCTGGAAATAGGTTTGCCCTTTGTTTTGCCTTCATATGAGTTCACAAAAATAGTGACCAGGCCAGATTCTTTTCTTTTTGTAATTCTGGTATTTTTTTAAAAAATAGATTATTTGAAATCTAAATTAAGAACTTGTCATTTTCTAAAATGTATTTCTTTGAAAGTTTTTGGAAGAATCTAGGCCTTTATCAGTTCATATAATGCAATGTGAAGTGATTCCGTTCTCTACCCAATTTTTGAATCTGAATCTAATTCTGCTGCATCACGAGTCACCCAGAGAAGGCGCTTTGCATTTTTCTCTAATACGGTTTCCTTGTGCATTTTTTTTTACCAAATCTTTCAGAGTACTGACATCATTTTCTTGAGTGTAATCAAATATTTCTTCTGGAGACTTCTTCAGTTCCATTTATTTGGTCTTTTCTATTCTATGAACTGGCAAAGCTTCTAGGATGAGAGGTGAAACGTCTTCAAG